TCTAGTCAGTGACACAAAATGTTTTACTGCTATAACAATAAGAAAGTCTTGATTGACATAAACGTATTTAATACTTTTATTATTGATCGTCCATGCATTTTGTTATCTTGACCTACAGGTGGGAAAAATTAATATATGGTCAGATAACTTGACTGCTTGTTTCTTTGTTAGATTTTGGTAGGAAATAACGACAGGAACTCAGAAGTGAAGCATGTTGTTTATAGAGTGTTAACAAGATATTTGCGATTTTTGCCAAAGACACACCAGCGTGGGGTGTGTATGAGAACAGAGGTGTTTGGAGTAGAAAAAATGTCAAGTGAGTGTGGAACTTATAATGTACACTTGCATTCTTATGAAGATTAAAGCTCAACCTCTTCAAATGGGCCATTTATCAACCTCAAATTATGTTATGATTACTAGAAAAATGGTCAAAAGGGGAAATGAAGGAAAAATGTAAAAGTTTTTCTTTGACTTATTTTGGTGGTCAGATTTGTCAACCTGGGGACGTGTCTTTGGCAGTGTTGTGGCAGGTGATTATAACTTTTAATTATCAGTTTAAGTTTCTAGCCAAAACATATAGTTGGGTACACGTTTGGACAAAATGTTTCTGTCATTAAATTATAACTTCAGGCATTTAAATTATTGACATCTCTTTTCTGTTAACTTAATTTTATTTGGATACTCTCGTGACTTGAGGTAACAAAATCGTAATCTTCAAAAAAGCTGAGCTTTAAGTCCTAATAAGATATAGAAGGACTAAAATGGGAGAAAATAAACCAAATAAAGGGACCAACATTGTAGTTTCGATATGCTTTTCATGAAAAAATTGGATTGAAATCTCTGAAAGTTGCGTCTTCCAGCAAAAAAAAAAGTCATAGTGAAACATCGCTTTAGAGATATCTCAACAGTAAAAGTTTAATTTTTAACTTATTTAAACATTGAGGCGTGAGTAGTGTAGTGGTCAGTGCGGTGTACTCTGGCTCGGTTGGCCTGGGTTCAAGTCCTGGCTGGGGCATGACGTTGTGTCCTTAAGCAAGACGCTTCACTCACATTGCTTCGTAAAGCCGTAGGTCCCGTCTCCCGCAGAGTTAGGGGTAGGAGATGTGAATTTCCCATGCACGAGATTACTGTGTTGTGGATGTCCTCTCCGGGGTGGGATGGGTGGGAAGGTGAGATCGCTACATGGACTGAAGCAGCTACCAGAGGCGCCTGTTAAAAATGCTGACGTCCGATCTCAACCTTACGATACTGTTAAGCGCGACTGAATATATCCACATAGAAGTCTGTGCTATATGAATGTAAAAATGTAAAAAAAATGTAAATTATACAACTTGGTATTTTAATGAGAAAAAAATGAATTGTACGTTTATCGTGAAGTGCTCAAACACTCACTTTGAAAGTATATCATTGCATTTGATGTACTGTATCAAATGCATATATGATAGGGATGGTTACTGGTAACTTGGGGTGGGATCCTTCAGATGTTGCAGAAGATATAAATAGAAAATAATTATATGAAGGCTGGTAATGGTTGTTGTTATTATCTGCAGCTTGTGATATGAAGGCCATTGGTTTGGCTGACGGTGGTAAAATTCCAAACAGCAGCTTCACAGCCACGTCAATATATGATGATAGATATCGAGCTGAATGTGGTCGACTGAATAAAAATAAGGCATGGGCACCCAAGGATAATAACAATATTGACGACTTCCTACAAATTGACCTCCTGTATGAGTATATCGTCTGTGCTGTGGCTACTCAGGGAAATCCATCATCTCGTGTAGCAGAATGGACCACACATTACAGGATACATTTATCTCTTAATGATACCACTTTTGACACCTACAACGAAAGCAATAATGACAAGGTTGGTCTTTGTGATGTTTATGTACAGTCGTATTAAATGGTTAAATGTGCATCTGATGCACTCACTAAAATTTTCTAAATCAAGATTAGGGTGCATGGGGGGATGTTTCTTTTTTTGTACCTCGTTCTTGATGAAGAATTTCTTTCTTAATCAATTTCAAATGCTGACCTTCAAGAGCACAATTGGGATATGCAGTTTATACTCTGTATCCAGCAGTTGTCAGTAATTCCAAGTAATCCTGAGTCTTAAATTTTTGACCTCTATAAAAGAGCATGGGACCCGTGGTTAAATAAGACCAAGGCTGATGACCTCCTCAAAATTGACCGGCTCTATGAGTATACATGTACCAGTTGTGCTCTGGCTACTTAGGGAAATCCAGCATCTAATACAGCAGCTCAAGAATAGAGCACACATTTCAAGAGACATTTATTACTAAATACTACTAGTTTTGACACCTACTGGAAAAAGTAAACAATGATGGCAAGGTTAATCTACGTAAAGGACACGAACATAAACGCCTGAATTTATATCTGGTCCATTTAATTCATTTTCTAAGTGAAGACAAGACGTTCTTCTTTTTAAAAAATTTCAAGGTCTTCTTTTTTAATTTATTAAAAACTTACAAAGCACAATGAGAAAATGCAATTCACAGTTCTACATCCTGCAGCTCTCAATAATTCTCTTTTGGTGATGTAAGGGAGACTTGACTCCCGTGAATCCATTAATGTCCTTGATAAAGAAGACAAAATATTGTTATAGTCTGTTGACTTGTAAACAATCCATTCTTTTCTGGGTACACCTGTGTTTGCTATGACCATTTAATTTCTATGTGCTTATTTAACTTGTAACCGTCGTTGATACTATCTCGAAATTCATTCAGGTTGGCCTACGTACAACCTTGTGGCCCGAACAGTAAAAACGTGTGTCTTGTCCGAGCCAAGACTGGAAACGAAAACTTAAACTAAATGCCGCTGTAATCTAATGCGCCAGCATTAACATAACTGGTGTGGATTATTCTGATTTGGGAATGAAGTTCTTTTTGATTAGTGAACCTGGTGTCCATATTTGCTCTGTCTTTCCTTTTTTCACCTTTTCAAGGAAGGGTTCTAAGAGATAATCTGTACTGTTATGGATTGAAATAATTGTGGAAGTTATTTCACACTATGAATTAATGTGTGAAGTAACTTTTTTGAAGGGAGCTCTGTAGCATACGAGCCATTTACAATCTAGCAATATTCCCCAAATATTTAATTCTCGGCACATAATGATTTGAAATAAAATCGTTTCCAGAGTAACTTTCCTCCTTCTTCCAATTACTTAACTCTATAATTTACTTATTTCAAAAGCAGGTAGATTGTTATCCCGACGATGAACTACCAACAGGATAAATTACATACAGTACTTGCTTGTACCCGTGCAGGAAAACCAACAAGTTTAATTCAGATAGCATCATTCTCTATCGTTAGCTTATAAACTTAATGTTCATGATAAATTGTTGATTATTGTGGTGAATGATGCATGATCTTAAATAAAATGTTAACAATGAGTTCTCTTTTTGTGCTACTAACTACAGGTTTTTCCTGGAAATAAAAACAGAGACATAACCGTAAAAAACAGTCTTAATAACTTTGCAAGTGCAAAGTACATCCGCTTTGTGCCAACACAATATCATTCCTGGAAAACTCTTAGAGTAGAGGTCTATGGAATACTTCTAACTAAAGGTAATCATTTGACCACTTTTTCTACTGAAGACCAACAAAGACAAAATTATTATTAAACCTATTCGCCAATGGAAAGCTAAGTATCCCTCAATGGTCACTGATCTTAGTTAACTGACTCAGTAAAGTTTGGAGCTGGACACAAGAAAATTTGGGAATCAACACCTTACAGATATTGATGTAGTTTAACCCGAAATTTTGTGACCACTACTGTCTGAACCTGTGCAGTAGTGAGCAACTATGCAGATGGAGCAAATGGTGTCATGATTTAATCACGGAGAGACCTTCCCTATTGCGGTGAATTGAACAATATTAAAAAATTAGTTCAATTTTAACAAGGCGGTTCAGAAAAATTATAGCAGTGCTCATTGTTATTGTATATGTGAAAGTAAGACGTTATAGAAAAATTACAAAATTTAGCATTCACAAAGGAAGATAGCTTTGTATGGCTTGTGCAGTGCGTCCTGAACTGACTTCCAATGTGCTCTTGGCTGTCTCGTGTATCGTTGTTGTGTAATTGCGAGATTAAACCTGAAAGCTTAGAGTTCCGGAGATAGTAC